ACACACACACACACACACACACACACACACACACACACACACACACACACACAGGCATCAGCCATGCAGTGAAGTGAGATGCAGATGCTGATTGTTGAGGGAAGGTTTTACCTGAACTGAGCAGGAAGTAGCTGCTGGCGCTGCTTCCTCATCATTGTCCTCCGATGAGAGAACTGAACCTTGTTCTGCTTCAGTGACAGAACCTTTTTTTGTTTTTTTCTCAGATTCATGTTTGTAATCGTAGTGGCTACAGTTTCAGATCTATTGAACCTAAACACAGAAGAGTCACATGCTGCGTTTCTGTTCCCTGATGAGACCCATTAAATTGTACAAAATGAAAACGTCACAGTTTACGACTCTAAACGTCAGATTTTGTGCATTTCATTAAAAAAACGAACACCTGCGAGGCCTACTGAGTGATTTATGTTCTGCAGAAAGAGAGAAAAGTGGGCCAATGGGTTTTTAAAACTCCTTTTTTCTGGATTCAAGCATTTGTGTTTTGCAGCTGAACTTTTAGCTCGCTGTCAAAGAAAAGGAAACAAAAAGATGTTTTCCAGCTGACATGAGCTGCATTTTGATGAGATTATGTCGCATTGTGTTTCTCTTTTTGTTATTTTTCTGTTTTCCATGGCGTCATGCTGTAACATGACTGATCTGCTTAGATAAAATGTGACTTTTTTTCCCCTTGGCATTATGTGTGTGAGAAAAACTATCTGCTGTTACAGAAACTTCCAGTATTTTACTTTCAGGTCATAAAATCATCTTGGCAAAAAAAAAACATTATTTGTCACTCGTTCTGGCGAAATGAGTCACAATGAGAAAAATTTCACTGTTGACTAATTATTATTGTTGTTGTTGTTGTTGTTGTGTTGTTATCATTATCATTATCATTATTCATATTATTTTTTTATTTTTTTGTCTCAAAGTTTCAAAGTGAGGCGTAGTTTGTTGAAACCTGGCAACAAGTTTGTTTTGTTTTTTAAAAGCACTGATTTGAAAGCTCATTGATTGGTCAGGAGTGATGTCATCAGTAATTCCAGTCCTATACTTAAAAACAGACATTCCCTTAAAAATGTAAAAAATAAATAAATAAATAAAAAAAGCCAAATATTGTACGAAGGGATTTCCCAGCTGGCAGAGAATAGTCATGAATTTCAAATGAAATGAAGGGATGATAAAAGGAGAACAATTCAAAAATACTTTATCGATCACAAAATTACAGTCATGTTTTTCATCAGGTTGTTCAACTCGTTGCACTATTTGACAGCTGACATGTCGACTGTTTTCACCGCAAGCATTTTGACTTGCTAAGACATGAAAACCCCATTAGTTATTTATAACAATCAGCTAATAAACATAATAATAATAATAATAATAA